CCTAGGCTCAACTCCGCTCCTAAATATCCTCTCATCTCCTCTTCCAGGCTCTATTTTTAAAATCAGATTTCCTTTACTGTACAGGGAGCTGACAGGGAGAGGTATTCGTGGAGGGATTTGCCCCCCCGCCCCCCCCACACCCAACCCTTCATAGACACACGTTGGCAGCCCCGACCCAATGGGCCACTTGCTCAGAGGCAGTCAAGGAGCTGACCCGGCCGAGGCTCAGGGCACGGAAGGTGGTGAGGCCGGGGTGTCTGTCTCTGGATGTTGGGGGGAAGAGGGTCCCTCTCAAAGGCCTCAAGGGCAGTTCTGACCCCAAACCAGGCTAAATCCTGGTTTATTCTTTTTTTTTTTTCTTTTCTTTTTTTTTTTTTTTTTTTTTTTTTGATAAGGTGGGAATTCTCAAAGCAGTAGATATTTCTTAAATTACCATGAGGTTTGAGAGCAACATTTGTAGGACTGAGAATATTACTTCTGCAGAGCCCAGAGAAGAGGCAGGGCCCAGGCTGCGGCGGGCGGGGGCCAGGCGGGACCCTCATGACCACCTAAAGCAAGGAGCGCAGGGACCCACCCGCAGAGGCTCCAGTGGTGCCCAGGCCCTCCCAGGGGGCACACGTCTGAGCTGAGCCTCCATGAGACGCTCCCCAGGTGCACCTGACCCCCGAGACCCCTCGCTCACCTTGGGGGGTGTGGGCCTCGTCCCCTCGCTGGCCCGTGAGGTAGCGCTGAGTGGTTTCTTTCCATAGGGGACCTAGTATGGTGCCTGGCCCAAAAAAAGAATCAGGACAGACTGCTGTAGGAATTAATGAATTACGGACAGAGAGACTTGATTTTAAAAAATACAAAGATCCCTACAGGGACAATAAAATTGAGATGTATTTGGGGTCAGGGAATGAGAAACTCGGTCTTTCTAAAGGGAAATACAAAGAGGAAAGAGGGACTGAAATGTAGATGGTCAAGAATTTTGGTTTTATGCAAAAGAACTTAAGTTTTATAACCTTTTCTATCGTAACGAAGAGCAAACTAAAGATGTTCGGCATGACAAATACTTGGTCTAAATTTCATTTCATGCTCAGGCATTTAGATTTTATGTTATGGACATGAAATTTGAAAGGCTTGAAGTTGAGAATGCTGTGATTCCACTTGGGTGCCGTGCTAAGATGTCGAGACTTTTTGTTAGTGATGAAACCACGTTAAAAGATTGTAAGAGAGAATTTCATGACTAGATTTGGGTTTCATGGGAAGAAATCTGGACTTCATTTTGAAGGGTGACAGGATCAAAATTTTATATCACTCTAAGGAGTTTGGATTTTCGCCAGAGGGTTTTAAGAAATGTGATGGAGATATTTTTGCTTGTGAGAGATAAATCTGCAGAAAAACATGATAAAATATATTTTATGGCTAACAGCTTTGGACTCATATTACAAGCAACATGGAAATGTTGAAAACTGTAAATAGGAAAGTAACGGCCACAAATTTAAGGGTGATACTCGAACATTTCGACTTCCTACGTTGAAGGAGTACCAAAGTCCAATTTGCAGAGCATTGCAAGGAGATTTGATTAACGTTGACACTGAAGTTGAAAGATTTTAATCGGAGGAGTTACAGGATCAACACTGTGAATACGCAAAGAAATTTGGGGTTTATTTTGAGGTTCTGACATAGTCAAATTTTTGCACGTGCCTGGGAATTCGATTTAGCCAATAAAATGTTCTAACAGAGTTACCTGGTGAGGTTTTTTTTTTTTTGCATGTTTGATAAATAGTATGCAGTGAAATTACAAAATAAAATTCACAGTTTGTGCCAAGAATTTGGACTGTTAGTCCATTACTAATTAAGAGACATCGTAAGATTTTAAGGTGGAGTTACAAGATCGAATTTTATATATTGTGCTAGAAAGTGTGAATTTTATTTTAAGGGATGACATGATCAAATTTTTATGTCATGCTAGTAAGTTTGGATTTAAGCCAACAGAGGACTTAAAGCAGTGACAGGGTGATATTTGGGGGGTTTTATAGACCAGCCTGAAGATAAATTACATGGTAAAATGCTGGTACTTTATATTAAATAGTTGAGAAAAGATAGTACAGGCAATGAAGAAACTTCCAAAAGTTTCAAGTTGAGAAGTTACATGTTCAAACTTGCACATTTTGGCATAGTTTAAAAAGTGGGTCTTTGTGGAAAAGATCATATATGATCAGATTTTCATAACATGCTAAGGAGATGTGATTTTATGTGAGAAGTGAAGGCATTCGAGTGTTCTAGAATGTTCCATATAGAGGAGGGGGATGATCTCATGTTTGAATCCTCATGCAGAGCCATTTGGATTTTAGCCAATAAAGGGTTTTAAGGAGTGAATTGATGAGAGTTCTATCTCTATTTTACGCTAAAGTATCTGGATTTGATGCACCAGATAGTAAGTGTTGACCGCATCTCAGTGGGAAGCCCCTTTGGCATCAAGACCCCCAGTCTGCACTTGATGCTAAGGAGCTGGACCATTTATAGACAGGGCAGGTCTTACAAAGAACAGTTATATGATTAAATTTACACAGCATGCTAAAAAGTTGGGACACTATTTTGAGGAATGACAGGATCACATTTTTATACCATGCTAAGGAATTTGGATTTCAGCCATTAAGAGATTTTAAGAGAATGACATGATGGAATTTTTGCATTGGGTAGAGCAGTAGGCAGAGAAATTATATGGTGAAATGTATTATTTTAAAGTCTAAGTTTAGACTTTATCTCATAGGTGGCCAGGAGATATTATAAAGCTTTAAGCAGTACTTATAAGAGCAAAGTCTTGCAAGGAAATGTGACCTTTTATTTTGAGGAGTGACATGGTCAAAACTCTTATATCATGCTAAAAGGTTTGGAATTAAACCAATAAAGGGTTTTAGGAGTGGCCTGGTGAGATTTTGGGTTTTGTATTGATCAGTTTGGCAAATAAGTTAGACAGTGAAAATTTTTATTTTATGCTAAGTGGTTGGGACTTTATATCATAGGCAATAAAAAGAAAACTCTGTGCGCTTTAAATAGAGAAATTATGGGATAGCTTTTATTCATCTCGCTAAAAATTTAAACTTTGATATTAAGGAGAATTAAGGTTTTTATAATATGACAAGGATATTAGATTTTAGGTTGAAGGCAGGAAAGTTAAAGGATTTAATCATTTACGTGATCAAATTTATAAATACATTAAGAAGTATAGACTTCATATTAAGAAGGTACATAATCTAGTTTTTAAATCATCTTACTAAAAAATTTAAATTTTAGCCAATAAAGAGTTGTGAGAGACATACTGAGATTTTTATTTCTGATAAATGAGTCTGCAGATGAATTACTTAGTTAGATTTTGTATTTCAATTAGAATTTTATATTAGAGATTTATAATTTTGCAATAATAATACATACCCTAGAGGATTTTTATGAAGAAGAAATGAGTTAATTTATGCAATGTAGTATGTATATGTTGCTGTCATGATCATGATGATGATGATGATGATGATGATGATGATAATTTTACCTAATTGGTATATCGTGCTAAAATTACTCCTCTACCTTCAGTAATGACATAATAAGAATTTTATATTATGGTAAAGCCTTTATATTGTAGCCAGAGAATGGTTTTAGTGAGTTTACATGTCAGGTATGTTTATGCTAAGAGGTTTGGATTTTATATTGCAGACAGTAAATAAACAGTGAAAGGCTTTAATCAGAGGGATGACATGATCAAATTTAAGTGTCACGCTAACAAGAATGTGCTTAATTTTGAGAAACAGCAGATCAGAATTTTGTATCCTGTTGGAAAGTCTGGACTTTAGCCAATGAAGAGAATGAGGGAATGCATGTTTTTGTAATAGATCGGCCCAGTGGCTAAGAAGAAAACTGAGAAGTAACAAAAGAGGTGTTAAATTTATAAAGAACAGTAACTATACACCTGATCTATTATATAATCAAAGCTCAGTTTTCTCTGGCCCAGCAGAGAAGAAATGTGGAAATAACCCCATTGATGACATTTATTTAAATGCAGTCTCATTCCACCAAAACCGCCAACCACTAGGTTTTCAAAAATCCACACCAGGACAATCAGATTCCAAAGATATCCCATGTCCTCCTCCCCCCCCACCACCACCCCTCCCAATGTCCCAACTCTACTAGATAGACACCCTCTGCGTTGCGGGGGAACCAACCCACGACAGAGAGAAGGGCCAGTGCCAGAATGAGGAGACCAGCCCCATTTGAGTAGGGAAGGGGTCTCTGGAAGACGAGGTCCCACGGGTGGAATTGAGGCCAGAGCTGTGACCTTCCAGATGCCTCACAAAGGGCCAACCCTGGGACAGGGAAGGTTTTAGGAGGACAGGGAGGTTGGGTGATCAACTCCTCAACAGCTCAGAGCTGGGGAGAACAGAGCAGTCACTGGAAGGAGATCAAATCGAGAAAGAGAAATCCACAAAAAGTCTGAGTTGTAATCAAGTAACCAATGTGCCAGTATCCGGCACATAGTAGGTATTTTATAAATTTGATGGAAAAAATAAAAATAAAAAATAGCAGAACTCAGACCTCTGCGCGCACCCCTGAAATCTCAGCTTTGAGCCTGGGGAAGGAAATAAGAGCTATTTGGGGCCACTGACCCGACTGGCAGGACAGTAGCCACGTGCCCCATTTCTCCTCTCCCACTGACCTTCTGAGACAGTGGGCATGTTTGCTGGAGATTCCTGCCTCCACAACCGCTGAGGCTGGGCTGGCTCCAGAGCGCAGAGCCTGCCAGGGATGGCTTTGGGTGGCGCTGGGACATGACCTCTGTGATTTGAGTGACCGAAGCAGGGAGGGAGGATTGAGCAGGCGCAGCTGCCAGGGTGAAACGGGGCCACCTGCACACACTGCCAGGTGCCTGCTGCCACGGTAGCCGCTCTGGGACGGTCACTCCACAAATTTATGGGCTGTGAATTTCTCACATCCACAGAGGGAGTAGACAAGCCAGGCAGGCAGACTAAGCCTAGGGGTCAGGGGTGGACAGATATTCCCTCCCTGGGGACACCCCAAGTGACCCACCGAGGAGGCTGGGTTGGACACAAGAAGGCTTTCCCCAGTTTCTCTCTGTCCTGCTTAGTTGGGCCTCTGACTTGGTTCCTTGAGAACTTGACCCTGACACCTTTGAGACCCTAAACTGCTTCCTTTACTCCCCGCCCCTCCCTGTCCCCACCAGGTTCTGATCGCCACCGTCCCAGTTGCTGACTGGACGCATCCCAACCTTACCAGTCTTCAGAAAACACTCCCTTCCAACCGACGAAATGATAGAACCCTCTGAAGACTCATTTGAGACGATGATGGAGCATAAGAATCCATCATCAAAACAAATGGAGTCCTCCGAGGGCTCATCCAACACCACCGAGCAGGCATCTGGCAGCGGAGTGCAGGAAGCGGCAGGGCCAGGCGGGCACCCAGCCCCGGGAAGAGAGGAGCCGCCCAAGGGCTCACTGCAGGAGGGGGAAGAGCTGCCCACTGATCTACTCCAAGACATGGAGGAGCCATCCAGTGGCCCACGTAAGGAAATAGAGGATCCACCCAATGACCTACTCCAAGACATGGAGGAGTCATGCAATGGTTCACGCCAGGCAGTGGAGGATCCACTCAGTGAAGCATCTGATGGGAAGAAAGAAGCGTCAGTAAACCCCTCTGGAGCCCAGCAGGTACAGGAGGCTGACACTGACCTGAACAAACCGAGAAGCGAGGAGAACCCTGAAGAAGATGGCAGCCAGACGGAGAGCTCCCCCGCGGAGACCATGGCCACGATGAGGTCCATCATCTCGCTGTTCCTGCGCATGCAAGACCTCCAGGAGCAACAGAGGGTGGCAGAAGAGATCTTGGTGAGAGGGATCGACGCGGGCCGACTGCCCACCCCAAAAAATTTCTCTGGCGATCGCAGAGAATTCCACGAGTTCATCGTGCTCTGCCAGCTGACCTTACAAAGCTACCCAAGAATGTTCTATAGCGACCACCTAAGAGTTGGGTATGTCATCAGCCACCTCTCTGGCTTGGCCTTAGAGTGGGCCAAAGCTCTGCTGCGGGAGAACAGCCCCCTAATGGGAGACTTCCCAGCCTTCCTGGAGGCCATGTCAGAGGTGTTCGAGTACCGTCAGACGCTGCGTGTGGCAGAAGAGGCCATGTTCAATATCAGGCAGGGCAATCGCTCTGCCTCCGAGTACATCAATGAGTTCCGGAGCCTGGTACCCACCCTGGGCTGGCCAGATGAAGTCCTGCAGGCCCACCTGTGCCAGGGGCTCAAGGAGGAGATCAGGCACTATCTATTTCGGGTCCCTCAGCCGGATTCCCTGGAGAGTCTGATTGTGCTCATCCTGCAAATAGAAGAAAAAGTGGCAGAGAGAAGAGCAATACTCAGGCTGCCCCTGGAGGCCCGCCCACGGAATCTGACCTGGATTGACTCACCTGCTCCAGAGAGGTGGATGGTCAGCAGCTGGCTGCCCAGCGAAGTCCACCCGGCCATCAACCGCGCCCATCTCTTCCTGCTGCTCATGGTGAGGGTGAACCCCTACCACAGCGTCGCGGTCCAGGCCCTGGTCGACTCAGGAGCAGACGGCAACTTCATGGATGAGAAGTTTGCCCAAGAGCACTACGTTGAGCTTTACGAGAAGCCCTACCCACAGTCGGTCCAGTCTGTGGACGGCTCACTGATCGGCGACGAGCCCGTCTGGCTCTACACCGAACCCCTGGTGTGCATTCACCAGAACCACCAGGAGTCCATCGAATTTGACATCGTACCTTCACCTAACTTCTCCGTGGTCCTAGGCATCCGCTGGCTCCGAGTCCATGCCCCCGAAGTCGACTGGATCAAAGGCCGCTGCACCTTCCACTCTCCCTACTGCCTGAAGAACTGCTTCCGCCCGCCGCCCCCATGCATCGCCCTGGAACGACACAGCATGAGCCTGCTACCCGGACTGCCACACCCGTATTCAGACCTGGCCGACGTGTTCAACCCGAAGGAAGCAGATGAGGAGACTTCCGACCAGCCAAGCTCAGACGGATCCGATGATCTTTCTGAATCAGAGCCCTCTGAGCTTCAGCAGGCTGGAGACAGTGATCACAGCGAGACCTTCTACGAATGTTCCTCGACTGCACCTTGGGAACCTGTGGGTGCCAGGATGCAAGAAAGCGCCAGGCCAGAGAACAACTACTGGGGTCGGCAGGACATGCTGACCAACAAACAGGACCACGTGCAGATGATTCCGGAACTGTTTGACCAGTTACACGGAGCCACCTGGTTCACAAGACTGGAGCTGCGTGGGACCATCGTGGAGGAAACCGCAAGCACGAACCCAACGGAAGAGGTATGGAAAGCGGCGTTCGGCATGGACCTTGAAGAAGTGAAGCGCCACCGGCCCTTTGCGGTGTCCCCAGAGCCTATCATCCCTCAGAGCGTGATTCACTTTATCCTCAAGGACATACTAGGCCTCTGTGTGCTCTCGTACGGCCAGGAAGTCCTGGTCTACTCAATGTACCAGGAGGAACACCTGCAACACGTCCGCCAGGTCCTGGTCCGCTTCCGGCGCCACAGGGTCTACTGCTCCCTGGACAAGAGCCAGTTCCACCGGCAGACCGCGGAATTCCTGGGGTTCGTCATGACCCCCAAAGGGGTGAAGATAAACAAGAGCGTCATAGACCTCATAACAGGGCACCCCATTCCCCGCTCTAGGAAGACCCTGCAAACCCTAATGGAGCTCGTCTCCCCCTACCGGCACTTCGTGGAGCGCTTCGCCATCATCACCGAGCCGCTGGTGCGGCAGCTGCTGAGCAGCCAGGAGTTCTACTGGGGAGACGAGGAGCAGGAGGCCTTCGAATGCCTGAAGCGGGCTTTCCGCAAGGCGCCCCTTCTCTACCACCCCAAGCCCCAGAACCCCTTCTACTTGGAAACGGGCATCTCCAGGATGACTCTGTATGCCTCCCTGATCCAGATAGACGACCAGACGGGCAAGAGGGTCTCCTGCGCATTCTACTCCCGAGCTATCTCCCAGACTGAGATGGAATACTCTCAGCTGGAAATGAAGATTCTTCCAATCCGGGCTGCCTTCAAGGTGTGGTGCCGCTACCTGGAGAACACCGAGGAGCCCATCATGATCCTTCTCAACATAGAGGATCTTGCCTCTCTGAATAATGACAGGCTCACCGTACTTCTCCCCGGGCATTGGGTTGTCTTCTTCTCACGCTTCAACTTCGATGTCATGGAGCTGCCAGAGCAAGACGGTGGCCGGCCTCTGCCGCCAGTGGGACACTGCAGGCGCAGAGCCTTCCGGAGGAGACCGTGCCAGCTCTTGGCCACGAGGGGCTCGCCTGGGGGCCAGTCAACAGAATCCGGGGAGGAGGAGGAAAATGAGGACCAGGACGAGCCCAGTGAGCAGGCCCTCCTGCAGGAGCTACTGGCCATGGTGCCCATCGACCAGATACTCAGCAGCTTCCTCGCCCACTTCAGCACGGCCCAGATCAGGGCCGTCATCCTGCATTTCTTCCGCGGCCTCCTATACTGGAAGAACGTGCTGGCCCTGGCGGCACTCCTCGTGCTGCTGAGGGCGCGGCAGCGCCTGTCCCTGCCGCCGGCACCCACCATGCAGGTGGCCCGGCCCCAACCACGGCGCTCCCTGCGGCTCTTCCTGGACTCGTCCCTCCTCTCGGGCAGCGGCATCACGACAGCCGTCGCTCAGCTGCTCACCCGGATGCCCCCCGTCGTGGGCGCGAACGCCGTCCCGGCCCGGGAGCTGGCCGAGCTGTTCCTGGGCCCTAGCCGATGCCAGCGGAACGCACTGCTCCCCGAGACCCAGCGAGCCCTGCAGTTCACGCCTGGCTTCTGGCTGGCGCTGTGTGAGTGTTTCGGTGTCAGAGTCACTCCCCAAGGGGGCAGCTATGCTGCCCCACGTGAGAACCGGTACTTGGAGCTGCACGTCGTCGGTGATGAGGATGTCGTCTTGCGAGAAGCCCTGCAAGACGACCTGCAACGTTACCGTCAGTGTGGCCTGCATGACGGCCTGCAAGACACCTCGCAGGACGAGCAGGACAACGACGTGCAGGAGGCCCTGCCCAGTGACACAGCTGTAGCCCTCCCGTCCCGCCCACGCAATCTGATGGACCCGGAAGTCCTTGACTTCCTCAACACCCGCCTGCTCTACATCCACAGAGCTGACGGCCAGGTGCACCTGCTCAGCCGGGAGCAGGCCATCAGGGCCCTGAGCCGCTTCCTGACCCTGATCTGCACACAGGCCCTGCCCGTGCCCACCTGGGAACAGCCCAGGGAAGAGGCCCAGCTGCAGGAGCTGGACGAAGATGACGAAGACATGGACCTTGACTAAAAGGCCCAGCTGCAGGAGCTGGACGAAGATGACAAAGACATGGACCTTGACTAAAAGCGCCTCCTCCTCTCCAGCCAGGAGGCGCCTCCTCCTCTGGCCCCAGCACTGCCCAGAGCCTCCTGCCCTCCCTGAGCCTCAGCCTGCTTCGCTCAGACCCCGAGCCCCATCCTGCTGCTTCCGACCCAAGCAGAACCCACTTGTGAAGGGCTGAAGTTTCTTCAACTCATCAACCAGCAATGTCATCTGTGCTAACTAACGGACTAACCAGTCATCAGAGGCCCAGAGCCAGCTCAGGGCCACACAGTCCTGTCTTAATCCCCCGGGTCCCAGGCCCGAGGCCGGGAGTGAGATCTATGAGAGGAGAGGGCAGTGACGAGGGGGAAATGACCCCATGACCCAAGGCCAGATGGAGAAGCAGGCACAGCGGACGCAGCCAAGCAAGCGGGTACCAGAGACCCCCCTCCCTGGAGTGGGGCACGGCCCCTGTGCCATCCTGGGACACTGACCTCGGGTGTTCCACTGACTTCTTCTACCTCCAGCACCGGTGCTCCTGCTCCCCGGCCCCCAACCCCCACCCCAGTCCCACCTGCACCCCCACCCCCACCCCCACATGCGGTGCCTCCCTCAGCCCTCCCTGCCACATGCAAGCCACCCCCACCGTCTGGTCCCGCACTACGGACGCTGACTTCATCTGTCCCTGAGCTCTGGCCTCACCTGGACAAGGCTGCTCCGCAGAGCGTCCGACGTACCAGGACCACTTACCGGACTTGCACACCTCGATGGCTCCCGAGACTCAGGGGACACGGGAGGGGCAGCCGCACACGGTGGGCCCCTCCCGACACTGACTGCTGGTGGGCAGGAGCCCAGAGGCCGTGAGGGAGGCCGAGAGAGCGAACTGTGCCAGCCACCAGAGGCCCGGCCAGACCACTGCTTTGCACAGGGAGGAGACCCCTCCCCCCCAAGGGCTTTCTCAACCCCTAACCTTTTTCTACCCCAAAATAAAGCAAGATAAAAGATTATCTGACTCTGTGGTTTGTTCTAAAAGGTGGGGCTGGGTGGACAGGGGTGGGAACAGGTAGGGTGGGGGCAGGAGGGAGGGGCCAGGTGGGGGATGGGCATGTGGAGGGGTGGGGGTGGGCACACAGGCAGGAGGCCTCTTGCCCTCCTTCCTGGAGGGCCCCTTCGGGACTCTGGCCCTTCTTTCTGCTCAAGGTGGCTGCAGGTGCACAGGGTACATGGGGGAGGAGGGAGGGACTGGGAGCTTCCTCTTCCTGAGGGTTCCAGAAAAGGGAGCCCAGAAATCCAAATCCTGCCTCTGCCCTGGGCCTTCTTGTCACCTGAGAAGCGAGGTGCGCAGGAGTGGTCTGTGCCCCCCCCGTCTGGAGGGTCTGCAAGCCCTGGCCTCTAGCAGTCCCTACCACCCCACCCCCAGTGGAAAAGGCCTGGGCCCCACTTCAGAGGGTCACACTGTCCTAAAAGTGGCAAAATGGCTGTCCTGGGGAGGAGGGAGGGCCCATGGGCGTCAGGGAGGCAGGGGAGGTGGCACCACTCTCTCTGGGTTCAGGCCCTCCACAGTCAGCACACACTGACCTCCTCTGCCTGGCCATGGGTCACACCATCCTGGAGCGGCCTCTGCCTTCCCGGGGTACACTGGGAACTCTGCAAGGAGGCAGAGTGTAGACAGCTCTGGCCATGACCTTGAACCTCAGCTGGGAGAGGAGTCATACTGAGCCTCGGTGCACGTGGGCCCTCACGCGCCAGGGACCCCGGGCCTGCCCTCTCTGCCCTGCCTGGGAATCTGCCCCCGAAGGCAGCACCGTGAGACCACCAGCAGATCTCAGGTTCCAAGGTCAGGGCTCTGCTGGGGCCTGACTACCCTGCACTGGAGAGACCCCATCTCCCTCACAAGCCCAGCCCTCCGGGTGGCCCGTATCTCCCCTTCCACGTGGAAGGGCAGAGGGCAGCACTCAGACAGCCTGGCCACTCCTGCTCCCCACCCTTCAGGCACCGGGACCACTGGGCACAGACAGGGAGCCCGCCCAGACCACACCCCCAGAAGCCCAAGGCCACGTGCCCTCCACGCCCTCCCCAAACCAGGCTCGTGATGCCTCACAGTCACCAGGGGCACCTGACTGCTGCCCACCACCCCCTGTCTGAGGACTCTACCCCTGCTGGCTGCACCAAGAGATCATGGTCAGGATCCCAGGTTCACAGGCAGGGGCTTGGCTGCACCTCTGGCTTCTCCCTGTCTCATAAGGAAGTTACAGATGGCCCCACCCTACCGACTGGCTGCAGGAAGACCCCTCCCAGCCTCAGTTTCCTCCTCTGTCACTCAAACCCATTGAGGCTGCTGCTGTGAGTTACGAAGAAAGTGCTGGGCACAGCCCACACACAGAGTCCCCATCCTCCACTGCCCATCTGTGGACTTCCTACGTCACCTATTCAGGATAAACTTGGGAAGTTAAGGCCCAGAAAGGGCTGCAGGGGAGTCGGGGACCGAGCCAGGACCGAGGCCCCTCCCTGGTGGTCTTTGCCCTCTCATTCATGGCTACCCCACTCACGCCTCCATGTCTGTCTGTCTGTCCACCCAACACTCTGACTCTCAGAGCAGCCCCGAGAAAGGGTGCCGGGTTCAAGGCCAGGGCCACCACTGCAAGAACTCCAGTGTCCTCCTTAGTGAGCTGGGTGTGGCTGTGTGACCCGAGGTCATGGCTGTCCATCTTCCCGTCATCAGATGGGGAGTTTCCAGAACAACAAGACACAATCTCTAGTGGTCCTTGGTCCCTAAAATCCCCTCTGTTCCCAGACGACATCCTTCCTGGGGCTCCCAAGTCCCCTGAAATGGACAAACCTGGGGTGGAGCCTGGGTCGTGATGGGAGGGCCCCCAGCAAGGTCACCTGCGGGCAGCCCTTGGGGGCCCAAAGGCAGGAATGCAAGGGCGAATCCCTGTCCCTGCTTGATGGGGATTCCCCCTGGGTGGGTGTGGGATGGACGGATGGCATGGTGGCCCTGCAGCCCAGGACTTCCAAGGACCGCCACCCTTTCCCCCTGAGCCGTGGAAGGGGAAAGGGCAAACGGGACGAGCTCACGCGCTACGACCAAACGGAGTTTGCCACCGAACAGCCTGACCTGCAGTGGGATCCGGACGTGTACCAAGGTGAGCACGTTTGTCCCCAGGCACACAGGCAGACGTGTGCATTCAGACACACACGCACACACACGCACCAGTGTCCTCACCTCACTGGATCTCCCCTCCAATCCAGCCAGAAGGGCTTTAGCCCTGTTTATAGAAAAAGAGGCCAGCCCCCTGCCCCAGAGGGGAATTACTGACAAAGAGTTTCAAAAACACAATACAAACCTTTATTTTCCTGGGGGAAAAGACAAAAAAGGTTAAGGTTAGCAATAAATGACATGCTGAGTATGACACCACCATGGCCACCACTAGAAAAGATGAAAACTCAAGACAAGTATCTGGTTACTCTGAACAACAGGCTGCCCAGCCTGGCCGCTCCTGACACACAGGCCACAGGCCACCACCAGATGCCCACTTCCCACCCTCCCCCAGCCCCAGGTCACTGGTAGCCAGCGCCCTCCGGAGGAGAGCCCCAAGTTCTGGCCCGGTGAGGTCTGCCTGTCAACCTCCCTCCCCAGCCTCCCTCCCCAGCGTCCCTCCCTCCCCAGCCTCCCTCCCCAGCGTCCCTCCCTTACCAGCACCCTCCTCCCCACCCTCCCTCCCAACGCCCCTCCCACCCTCCTCCAACGCCCCTCTCCCCACCTTCCCTCACCAGCACCCCTTCCCTTCCCACCTCCACGGGACACCCAGCACTCCAGCCTCCAGGCCGGGTGCCCACTGGGCCTGTTTCTGGAACATGCAACGGTGCACACTCCCCAGGCAGCTGGGGCTACTCACCACAAAGGTCCGGATTTGCTCAGCCCTCCTGCAGTGGCCGAGGTCCGACTATGGGCCCCCAACAGAGGCCCCTGTGCTAAGTAAGAGCTTTGCTAGCTCCTAACGTGGCCACAGAAGACACATGAGGTCCCCTCTCCACCTACCTGGGTGGCCACAGTCTGCTCCCAAAGTGGGAAAGAGAAAGACAACAGGCAGAAACCATCACCTCCACCCTCAGACCCCGCCCGCCTGCTAGAGCCCCGCCGCTGGGCCGGCTGGCACTCTCGTCACACCCCAAACCCATCAGAGGTGATCTCAGACCCCAACGGTAACCTTCATCCGGACCCCTGTCCACTTCCGGAGCTCAACAAAGACGAGCATGTTCATCCTGACACCAGGAAAGGTACAAGAAGGAAAAGTAGGGAGAGCAAGGGGGCTTGAGGGAGTAGGGGTGAGGAAGGAGGAGGGCTATGAAGGGCAGGGGAGTGGGGACAGTCTCTCTTCTGTCCTCTCTCATGGTTTCATGCTGCAAGCAAGGCCTCCCCCTGGCCTGATGTGTGTGCCCGGGCTGGCTGTCGTGGCTTGTTAATGGGGTTAATCATGCCAGTGTCACAAGGGTTTGCTGCAGGTCACCTCTGCCATGCCATGCACGGGACCTAAGTTAGTAGGGGTGCAAGAGACAGAGGTCCATAGCCCAGGGGCCACCTCTCTGCCAGCTGCTCATGTTGCTGTTCTAGTGCCCTTGGGCACCAAGCCTAGGCAGGACTGGCATAGGGGAAGAACAGGGGTGCCTGCTGCAAGCTTCCAGGGGACCCAAAGTTAGAAATCTTTGGGAAGATGGGAAATGCTTAACGAGAAAGTAAGAAGCCGCCTGTGAGGGGCCTCAGCCTCCTGGTCATGAAAATGTCCTGGATAGAGGCAGAGACCCCTCAAGGAGACCCTCCTCCTGGGGCACTGGGAGGGGTCAGCCCCGCTCTGTCCAAGCCCTGCCCCTCTTTCCTGGAACAAAGAGCACCATCTCTCCACGTCCGCACGTCCGCCTGTGAGCCGGGTCCACTCGGAGGGCTCTCTGTGGGAGATAGCCCCAGCCCCTCGGTGGGAGAAGCCCCAGGGCAGGCTGGACAACTCCGGCCTGGCTGTCATTGGCTGCCAAAGCAGAGGGTGACGCTGGGCCCAGTGCCAGGGAGTGTCCCACCAGGGGCGTAGCCTTTCCTGCCAAAGAGGGGGCCTCAGAGATGGCCCAGCCCCAGGCCCTCCCCTCCAGGAACTCGGAGAGCTGTGGGAGAGAGAGAGAGAAGAGGCCACAGAGCATGCCAGGAAGAGGCTGGTGGGACAGCAGCAAGCATGAGGACACGTCCCCAGGCAGCCCAGGGTGCAGAGGAGGGTCCGGAGGCTGCGTGTGGTTGAAGGGGATGAAGAAAGGCATCATATAGGAGCTGAATAACTGTGCAATCAACTCCTGTATGAAGCCGTTCCCACCCCCCAACTACTGACTACGGGCCGCGACCCTCCTCCCGGAAGCGTAGCGCAAGCACTGAATGGCGGGTGGGATGCCTGCTGGTTAGAGCAGCGACAGCAAGGGACAGCCAGCCCAGGCAGTGTTCACGGAGTCCTGCAGGAACTAAA